TGGATCAATTCCTTCTGATATTCAATCGTTAACATTTGGTTATAGTTTCAATAAAGATATATGTCATAGATTAATACCATTAAGTGTAAAATCATTGGCTTTTGGTTATAGTTTTAATAAAGAGCTATTGAAAGGTTCAATACCATCCAGTGTTAAGACCTTAAAATTTGGTGACTATTTTAATAAACCACTATCAAAGGATTCAATACCTTCAAGTGTTCAATCTTTAAAATTTGGTTCGGGATTTAATCAGCCAATATCAAAAGATTCAATCCCATCAAATATTCAGGTATTATCATTTGGTACTAGTTTCAATCAACCAATAACTCCAGGGTCAATCCCCTTTGGTGTTACATCATTATCTTTTGGATCTGAGTTTGATTCACCAATATTACCAGGATCAATACCATCAAGTGTTCAATCATTGGAGTTTGGTTTTAGGTTTAATCAGCAATTACTTAAAGATTCAATTCCATCTAGTGTTAAATCTTTAAAATTTAGTTTTCATTTTAATCAACCTTTATCTAAGAATTCAATACCATCTAGTGTTGAATCATTAACATTTGGTGATCATTTCAATCAACCATTATCTAAAGAATCAATTCCATCTGACGTTAAATCATTAGTATTTGGCTGTAATTTTAATCAACAAATATCTCCTGGTTCAATACCACCAAGTGTTGTTAATTTAAATTTTGGAGCTTTTTTTAATCAACAACCTTTATCAAAGCATTCAATACCATCAAGTGTTAAATCATTAACATTTGGTGATGGTTTTAATCAACCATTAGATAAGGATTCGATTCCATCAAGTGTTGAATCATTAACATTTGGTAATAATTTTAATCAACAACTATATAACCATTCAATACCATATGGTGTTCAAACTTTAACATTTGGTAAAGGGTTTAATCAACAATTAAATAAAGACTCAATACCATCAAGTGTTATATCATTAACATTTGGCCAATGTTTTAATCAACCCTTAATCAAAGACTCTATTCCATCAAGTGTTAAATCGTTAAAGTTTGGTGATAATTTTAATCAACCAATTTTTAATGATTCAATACCTTTTGGTGTTGAATCTTTAACATTTGGCAATGAATTTAATCAACCATTACTCTTTAAATCTATACCATCAACTGTTAAATATTTAACATTTGGTGATAGTTTTAATAAAACAATTCCCATTGATTTACTTTCGTCAAATATTGAATCTTTAAAATTTGGTATTTATTATAATCAAAATATATTACCAGCTTCAATTCCTTCAAGTGTTCGATCTTTAATAATGCTATAGTAATCTTTTTCTCTTTTAAAAATAAAATAGTTATTTTTCTTATCAATCCTGCTTGTGATTCTGAGAGCTATACTATTTCACATTGAAATTTTTTTTTTTTTTATTATTATTGGGATTAGAATTTTTTTTTTTTTTTTTTTTTTTTTTTTTTTTTTTTTTTTAATATTATTGGGATTAGAATTTCTAATCACCATGTTTTTTTTTTTTTTTGTTGTTGTTTTTTTGGAAGTCGAGCTTTTTTTTTCCGGTTGATTATGAGGTGTGTTATTTATGACCACGTTACTTCGTGGTATGACCTAAGGCTCGAACTAAGGCCACGGAGACTGTGTGATTCAGCGCAGAACCACTACGTATAGCCTCCAATAATGAGGGTTTAATTATGACCACGTTACTTCGTGGTATGACCAAGACTCGATCCCAAGGTCTTGACCACGGAGGCTTGTGATTCAGCGTGGAACCACTAATCTCACATAGAGAAAAACTCGGTTTTTTTTTTTTTTTTTTTAATAGGTTGCGCCTCAAGACGGTTTTCTTTTTTTTTTTTTTTTTTTTTTTTTTTTTTTTAAATATTAATGATTATTGTTTGACCTTAGTCTTTAACAATAATAAAGTTTATTATTTTTAATAGTTAATTTAATTAATGTTCATTATATGATGCTTTTACATTTATATGAAAAAGTCAACAATCACATTATTAGGGAGAGATTTTCTTAATATACAGTATTTTTTTGAAATCCTGTTTTTGATTATTTTTATATTATTATTATAAGAGTTGATATCATTGAATCTTTCTGGTTCTTTGGCCATCGATAATTTATATTCTTTTAATAATTTGATGTATTCCATAGAAGCTAGTTGGTGCCATTTGTTTGTTAGCATTTCAAAATCCAGATTGGTATCTTGTAGCTCTTTGTTACCATACAATTGATTACAAATCCATATCCATATGTGATGCATGATTAATGCTATTACATTATTGTATGCATATGATCTGTTTAAGTCATAATTAATGGCTTTATAACACCATGTGAAGTAAGGCTTGTGGAAGGCTTCTATTCCGTAGTCAGGATTGATTTGGTTATCGGTTGGAGTATTGTTATTGAATTTTGGAAATATTTTGATAATTGGTTTTCCATTTACAATCGCTCTATCCACCGTCCAGTTTGAAAGTCTACCTGTTGTCACAAAGACGAAATTTTTTAGTTTGTTAATATTTATGAAGTTTTTTGTTTTTGTGCAGCTAAAGAATAGGTGACCGTATGGATCAATAGACATGTTAGTATTACACATTGGGCATGGTTTTTCGTGGAGATAGTTTAGAGGGAGGCATCTCGAATGAAATCTAAACATTGTGTTTTTAGTTTTTGGATCTTTGATATTTAGTATGTTGGTGAAAAGGAAGTTATAGTTATACCCTCTCATAGAAAGATTATCTTGGAGAAAGGTTTTAGGTATTCTTTCCTCTTTGGAGTCAATTTCTTTATACCATTCAGATAGAGATAAGGGAAGACCCGATTGATTTTTTATTGAATTGGCGAATCGGAAAATTCCTCTTTTAGTTCTACATTTGTTCCAATCATCTATATTACTCTTTAGAAATTGTGAGGTAATTCTATTTGATGTTAATTGAAAGTTCCAGCTTTTATGAGTGGCTGATGACAATGAATTGTTTTCTTGTGCGTGGATGAATTCGTTGATTATCCACAGTCTTTGGGCTTTTTGTCTTTGTTCGATGTCCCATATATTCCACCCACCTTGTTCCATTGGGTATCTTGATCTTCTTGCGCTCATGAGATTAATAACATTGAATCCTGTGGAGTTTTTGTAGTTTGAGGCCGAAAGGAACCATTCCACTATTTTGTTAATTTGTTTCAGTTCATTCTCATTGTAATTTTCAATATATGAAAAGTATGTTAGTTTTGATAATGCGAAGGCTTTAAGAATGCTAGTTTTAGTTTTTACCGTGGTCCCTGTTGTTTTCCAAAGTAAAAGAGATGCTCGAATTGATCTCAGAATTTCAGGCATTTTCCTGTGGATACCATTCTTAGTGAAGAAGTATCCAAGGTATCTTTCTGGGTTATTTGACTCCGGAATCTCGATTCCATTGTAGTTTGTATTACCCAGAACTATCGATGCTGATTTATCCAGATTTAATTTGGAGGAGGTTGCTTTACAAAAGGTGTTGAAGTGTTTAAGAACCATTTTTAGTTGATTTTTATTCTCTACCAAAGAAGTCGAATCATCTCGACCCCAAAAAACATCCTCCAAGTTGGAAACTAATCCCGTACATTTACGTGATCCAACTCCATTCTAAATTTCTAATTTACGAATTGGTCGCGTCTTCGACACCTGCTGACCTTCTCAGATGAGTTACGCGGAAATTGTGACTATAAACAGTCCACCTCTCAATCACATTGATGAAGAAACGACGAGCTTCATCGAATTATTAAAAACATCAAATGCCAAATACGAAAATTTCAACGACCGTCTAGAGGCGTATTCTAAGGAGATCGACAAATATTGCGAACTCATTAACGATGCCAACTTGACGGCCTACCAAAGGAACAATGACCATTTCCCAGTCACCTTTGAATTCCCGGGAGCCTCCAAAGAGGTGCTAGAGGCAAAAAAATTAGAATTATCAAAATTCAAAATTCCATTGGAGAACCTCTTCATATCGAAAGGCAAGAGAGCTAGAATACACGCTCTCATCAAGCACGAAAGCTCATTAGCAGACGTGCTAGACAACAGAGCCAAACTCGGCTCCTTCTACACCTCCAGTAGAGACTTTCATGTGCTCACTGGTTCAATCAAAATCAAAGAGGAAAAGGTGGAAACAGTGAAAAAAACAATAAATGCTGTCACTCCTCTAAACACTCCCTTCTCCTTCTACCATTCAAAATACCTCAATGGCCACCTCTCAATATTCGGCCTAATAGAGTACAAAAGGGACGATAAAATCACCAATATAAACTCGTCCACTTACAACTTTAAAACATCAATAAGATGCGCCACCAGAGCCATCTACAACGAAAAGAAATTCAAGGCCTCTTCAACCGAAAATGGCAAGGTCGAGATCAAAGCATCCGCCACAACAGCCGAAACAAAACCAGCTCACTCCGGTAAGAAAAAGGCTAACAAAAAGAAAAACAAAAAGGTGTCCCCAAGCGAGAAGGAGAGCTCGACTGTCATTACTCCGCCAGCACCTACCCAAGCACCCACCACCCAAAACACCTCTACTCAGAAGAACTCAAGCCAAATGGTTTCTGAGTCCATTCCTCCTACACTACTCTCAACCTTGGGCGATCTCATCGATTCCTGCGATACCGAAGATGAACAAACGAACCCGCAAACCTCGGGAACTACCACCTCTCAGGTAACAGATGGCCTCAAAAAAAGAGCATCACCAGAACTGCTGTCTGACGACACACCAAGAGCAGCACCTTACCATCCAAAAACGCCGGCAAACAATACCAATAGCACACCAATAGAATTCGAATTGGAATCTCCTTACACACCTCCCAGAAAAGATCTTGGCAACTCCAATCCCAAAGACAGTTCTGATAATTTGTTGGTGGCGATTCTCCTAAAACTCGGCAATTCCTCAAGATTGCTCAACGGCCATCAGCGACCAGGTAATCTCCAATTTAAATTTTAAGGGATCGAACCAGCGACCATATCCGAATTTTCCTGAAAAGGTTGACAACGGCGAGATTCGAACTCGCGAAGCCGAAGCATAAGAACTTGAGTCTTACCCATTTGACCACTCTGGTACATTGTCTTTATTATATTTTTTTTCGTTAAAATACAACTTTAGGTATGAGTAATAAAAATTTTTATCAACTCCAACATCCACTTGATTATTTTATTTTAATCACTTAAATTCATTATTATTTTATTATTAAATTAAAGATAAACAGTATCTATCTACTGTAAATCTTTATTTCTTTTTTTTTCTTTTTTCTTTTTTTCGATAATTTTGCGCAAGCGAAATTCTAAAAAAAAAAAAAAAAAAAAAAAAAAAAAAAACAAACAAAAAATAAAATTAAAGATTCAAGAATTTTACATTTTCAAAAAAAAATAGAAAATCCAGAATAAAAAGAAAATGAGTTCTTACGCAGAAATAACAAAAATTAGTGGAATAAATGGCGACAAAATATTCCAAGAAATAAGCGAAACTGTCTTTAAAACTCAAAAAATTTTCAAAACTTACAAATTTATGATCAACATAAAAGAAGAAGTAAATGAAGAACTTAAAAACAAACTACAAAACCTCTCAGTAGGAGATGGAGACAAAATAATCATAAGTAATGGCAAATACAAAGTACTCACAGACCATAAAGAAACAGTGAGAAAAATAATGCCAAAAATCAAATCGGCCTTAAAGGGGATCCACAAAACAACGATCAGACCCCTAATAAAATTCTCCGAATTCAACTGGATAAACTCATTAAAATCAGTCAAAGAAATCATGGTAAAAAGTGGCATAGAAATAATCTACACCACAATCAAAAATAAAACTCTAAAAATCTACTCGTTCAACACAATTAAAGAGAATGTAGAAGATAAAATTATAAATTACGAGTATATCTCGGTAATGTGCCACAGTAACACCAAAAAGGTCGATAGCGAAGAATTAAATAACAAAAAAGAATCAATTCAAAAAGAGATGTTAACTCAAAACTCTCAAACAGAAACAAAAACAAAAGACTCCAAAAAAGTAGAGTCAACAGCCAATACACCAAAAGAAGACACAACTATATTAGCCTTCAACAGCCGAGAAGAATTAAAAGACTTTGAGGAAATAATAAAAGAATCCAAAAAGAGCTCTGAAACAACAGAGACAACTAAAACAATTGTAGAAGATCCTCAATTAAAAATAAGCATCACATCACCACTAAAAAACTTTAAACAAGACGACTTAGAAATTCTAACACAAGAGTCAGAAGTTTCCCAAGATCTCAATACCCAATCACAAAACGACTCTGGAACAGAATCCTCAGTAACAAAGAATTACCACTCCGCTATAAGACAAGAAGGAGAAACCGAAGAGAACTTCGAAAGTAGATTAAAATACATGGTTGACGAAGCATATCTTCAAGAAAAAAATTATAAAGAAAAATGGAACAAAGAAGTTTTTAAAGTACCAAGCCTCTCCTTCAAAATTCCGGAGACAAGAAACACACCCGTGAAACTCAATTTTCAAGGATATAAAACACAAGAATCGATTCTCTCACCAAAGAAAGGATACATTTACCCTTCATACAACCAAAACGAACTTGAACAAATAAGCGCAAGTATCAACCAATCACTAAGGAAAATCTCACCAGAGTTATCAATAGATTTAACAAACTCTAAAAATAAATAATACAATTAAAATTGGAGTTTGGAATGCACAAGGCATCAATTCAATATCATCAGCTACAACTACAAACTCTATTCTAAAAAAAATAAAAACAGATGCCACAATTATAACAGAAACAAATTTGTCAGAAAACAAAGTAAAAACGATTAACAAATTCATAGACCACTCATCAATACACCATGCTACAGTCCAAAAGAAAGGGCAAGGAGTATCTTTAATAACAAATAAAAACATAATCACCAAAGAAAACAAAACAATAAACTCCAGATTGTTAATATCATCCTGGAAGGTTGGTAACAACGAGTTAAAAACGGCGGCTATATACTGTCCAGCTAAACCAACTGAAAGAAAAGAATGGATACAAAAAAACCTAACTAAAGAAAATTTACAAGAACTAGATCTCATAGCAGGAGATTTTAACATCAACGAAAAAGAACCATTCAACCAACATAACATCCTGTTAAAAGGAATCCTAAAAGGAGTAGGCTTGTATGAAATAAAACCAAACTCAAATTTATTCACGTTTCCAAGAACAAACTCTAATATAGATAGAATATTCATCTCAAAAAAATTACAACACATGAACCCAAAAATTAGTATCCAAAGAATAAAGGAGAAAAGTGACCACAACATGTTAATATTAGAGCTGCAAATGAAAGATTTCACACCTATTTCCAAATCACAAATGTGGATTCAAAACACCACAATAGTAAAAACACCAAAATATTCCGAAAAAGTCAACAACACAATAGAGTATTTCATAACACAATTCAAAAAGAACGGCCCCAATTACGCCAACTGGAATATATACAAAAAATGGTTAAAAATAAAACTAGAAATAAAAAAAAAATCAAAAAACCTGGAGATAAGAGCTAATAATTCCTATAACCAAAAAATAAATTTCCTTCAAGATAAATTATATAAAACAAACGATGCAGAAATTGAAAAAGAAATAAAAACAAAAATCTATGCATACGAAAAAGAAAACAATGAAGAAAAATCTACCAATTACTCAAACGCCTTCCTCAATAACAAAGAAACCCCTTCCAAGTTCCTAACTTCAATTCTAAAAACAAGAAAAAAAAATAATATAATAAACCAAATACTGAAAGAAGATAAAACTCTTACAACCAACCAGGAAGAAATTCTAGAAAGCGCCAGACTATACTATGAAAAACTCTATGAAGAAAAAGATTGCTCAGAAGAAGCACACCAAATCCTCCTAAGATCTTTCAAAAACAAAATAGAAATAGACATTTTAAAAGATCTAGACAAAGAGATAAATGAAAATGAAATCAGACTTATAATTGAAAAAATCAAAGAAGGTAAAGCTCCAGGTGAAGACGGTCTGACCCCCTCCTTTTATAAGACCCACGTAAACGTAATAGCACCCTTACTAGTAGACCTTTTCAATAAATTCTTGAACGACGGAATACCAATAGAGTTCAAACAAGGAATACTAATCACAATCTTTAAAAATAAAGGTGACCCAAACAATCTGGACAACTATAGACCAATTACCCTATTAAACGTCGATTATAAAATATACTCAAAAATTATAAACAACCGAGTACTAAAATTCATGAACAAACTAATATCTCCCTCACAAACAGGCTTCATTCCAAAGAGAGTATTACACGATAACATCATCACTCTAAACTCAGTAATAGAATGGTCCAAAAGAGAACAATGGGCAGAAGGTAAATTCCCAATTATCACTTTCTATGATTTCGAAAAAGCTTTTGACTCGATATCGCATAAATCGATAAAAAGAACTCTCCAACATATAAACCTCCCACCGAAATTCAGCAACGCGATAATGAACCTGCTAACTGATTCAAAAGTAAAAGTGTCAATCAATAAACAAATATCAAAAAGCTTCACCACAAAAAGAGGAACAAAACAAGGGGACCCCATATCACCAACACTTTTTGCACTAGTAGTAGAATGCATGGCAACAAGCATAAAAGGTTCGGATCTTACAAAGGGCCTACAACACGGAGGAATAACATCAAAGATCCTACAGTTCGCAGACGACACAACCACTCTAGCTTTCAACTTCCTAGATCACCAAATGATGGACAACTTCATCAAGATATTTTGTGATGCCACATCAGCAAGAATAAACCAAAATAAATGTGCTTGTATCAAATTAAGACCAGAAACCCCATCAATATACCAAGAAGTGAAAAACCAAGAAAGATATCTAGGTTTCAATTTCAACAAGAATGGGCTGGCCCCAAAAGCAAAACTGATACAAGCAAAAATAAAAGGTCTACTGAAACAATGGAACAAATCGACATCCACATATCAAGGAAGGATAACAATAGCAAAATCATACGGTTTATCACAACTCACGTTCTTCACCTATCTCGAAAACCTTGACCCAAGAGAACCAATAGACGGAGTAATTACAAAATTTATTTTCAACTGTAACAGAAAGAACACCATGTCTCTTCAAAGAAGATTAGCCGACTACTCTAATGGAGGACTAAACCTATGGGACTCATCGGTAAGAGCAAGCGCCCAAAAAGCCTGGATCTTTGAAAGACACCTTCATGAAATTAAAAATGGAACTCCAAACTCTTTCAATGAAGCATGGGTAAACGAAAGAAAATTAACTTTTGGAAACTACAATCCAGCAGCACCAAACTTCAATAAAAGACCATCACATATCCAAACAATGTGCCACAAAGAATGGTTAGAATTAAAAAAAAAAGAAAAAATCACAACCCTATCCCCACACTACAAAGAGCTACCTAAGCTAAAAATAATATACCAAGATCTAATGAAAATCAAGAAACCAGATTACAACAAATATACGCCTACACCAGGTCAAATAAAAATACAAGAAGACCTAAATATTAAAGTGCTACCATTCTTAGAAGCAAGAAGACTAATGTCTATCAAAGGCAGAGACTTAATTTGGAGATACTTACTTAAAGCCCTCCCCAAGTTATACGGTAAACCCTGTGTATTCTGCAACCAAGAAGAAACAGCAGAACACATATTTTTCAAATGTAACTCCCACCTAAAAAAAACGCAAGAAATAATAGATAAAATACTGGAAAAATCAAACAATACAGGTTTCGCATGGAACCAAACTGTACTAAACCGGCTATCAAACCCTCTGATAGGAAATACAATTGCAATTATTTTCGAAATGATATGGACGAGAAGAAATAAAACAATCCATAACGAATTCGCCCCAATAATAAATATGCAACAAATCACAAACAAACTCAAAAAGTTACAACACGCCGCATGGGATAAAACCCTAAACGACATCAACAGATTGATAAGAAAAATGAACAATCTATTAGTAAAAAATCATGAGAATACCCAAATTTCCATCACCATAATTCAACTAAAAATCAGAAGGTTCAGCAAAAACTGGAACTCAAAACTTCACTCCA